AGTCATGGGTGTGGGTGAGAGAGGGGGATCAGCTTGCACCCCATTGTGTCCTTGGCGCCTCCAAAGGGCACCAGGCTGGACAGAGCACCACGTCCTGGGGGGAAGGCAGGGGGCAGGTGCTGGGACTCTGAGCCCAGCAGAACCAAGCCCCGCCCCTGACAAGGACTGACTCGCCTTGTGTCACTCAAGTGACTGCAGGGGCAGCCGGACTTCTCCCTCAACGGTCCCTGCTCCTCACCAGCCCTGCCGTACATCCTAACGGGATCTTTGTGAGGTGGGATACCCTGAATTTACCACTCAGGCAAATTACTGACTAGAAAGTAAACCTAGTGTCTCTGGGGATAGAAAGTTTGAATCCTGGACAAAATTTAATCACCCTTTAAGTTAGGATGAAAGCAAGACTCAGGGAGGTTTACAGACATCTTCAGGAGACTTTTCCTTTCACAACGGTCCAAAGTGAGCCTTTTAGGAAATTCCTTTCTATCGGACCAAATCCATTTCCCTGAAGCTTATTCCTTCTTTCAACTCTAAATTAAGGCAATGGTTTTTTGTTACCTTGCTTTTTATTCTCTTAAACAATATTAATTTGTCTTTATTGAATGCCACTGTTTTTGAATAAAGGAGATGCATGTGTTGTGATGTGAGTGTGCTTTCTGTGGGTAAGAAGCTCCCAATCATCTAAAGAATCCAGTTCTTAAGAGCAGCTTTGTACACACGTGTACACACACACACACACACACACACACACACACACACCACTAACTGGGGTGGACTGAGATTCTGCGATTATTATAACCAGAAAATCAAAACCAATCAAAATATGCCAGCAATGTGCACAGCCCTGAATATAAAGTGAAAAGGATATGGCTCTTCAAATGCAACTATTAAAGAGCAGAAAGATTTCAGAACTAAAAACCCAGGAACCTTCTACTGATCCACAGTGGAGGCATCGATCTCAGCTTTCTGTGATTATCATCAGGGTGAACATTTATCCCTCTTTCTAATTCATATATACTAGCTCTACACATGCCTAGCTTCAAGGACTTAGGGTGTGCATAGCTGTGCAGGGTATTTTCTTTTCTTTTGTACTTTGAGGACTGCATAAACATTCATTATTTTAGAAAAGGTAAAAAGGAAAGGGAGACTAATAATAGTAAGATGAACACAGGTTTAGATTCTGTGGTTCCTCTCTTGACTGAGTAAAGAAATACACATTGGGGATACCAGGAATAATAATAATATAAAATTGTTACTTAATTTTTATGAGCAATACTTGAAACCATCCCAAATCATTTATGGGAACTATGATAGAACATTAAGTTGCTTGTGTTTCTCTCCCTTGTTTCATTTGAAATCGTTAACAAGCAGCCAGATGGCCAACATTCAAGAAGCATAAGAAATAAGACAATGGTAAAGCCACAAATACAGTGAAAAACTGGATATGAAGCCACAAATATTTAAGAATATATTTGGGCAAGGTTGAATAAGAAGATACTCTTAAAAGAGGTCATCTCTGTTAATTAAGAAATTCGCTCCAGTCAAAAGGGAGGAACATGGGAGTCTTAAAATGTAACATTATCATAAGAAACATTTACTATTGGTTGTTTAAAGTTATCATTATGTGACAGGCTCTCAAAATTTTACAGATCTATCAGTGGTGATAATGAGGGATAGAGAAGTAGGGAATGGAATTCTGTATTGATGAGAAGAAGCAAGGACCTTAAAAAAAAGAAGAAGAAGAAGAAGGCGGCTTAGGAACAACAGAGCAGCCCCCCTCTGGAAGGATGGCCACAGCCAGAGGCAGTGTCTGCACCAGTGGGACCTACAACACCCACTGGGGCTTAAACTACCCTGGCCTCAACCTCATGCTAGCTCCTCCCATAAAATAAAGAGCATGAAAATGAAACGACACTTATTTGATGACAAAGGAAAGTGGAGCCTTAATATCTCTTCCTTTGGAGGTGTCTTGGTCTTTGGTTTCTGGAGGGGGCAATATGGGGCCATCTCGTGCACCCAGGCCTGGGTGAGGCCCCCTTTGCAAGCCATGCTCCCATCCTGAGTGCTTATTTCTCATCCTCTTGGAAGTGGAGCTGCCTGTGTTGGGCGTGGGGGTGCTGCCAGATGGATGGACACAGGGACACTACCAAAACCAAAGGACCAGAGCAAAAGTCAGGGTAAATCTTTAAGGGGGGGAAAAAGGACCTGGAATATTACTCAGCCATTAAAAAGAATGAAATAATGCCATTTTCAGCAACATGGCTGGACCTAGAGATTATCATACTGAGTGAAGTAAGTCAGACAGAGAGTGAGAAATATCCTATAACATCCCTTATAGAGGGAATCTAAAAAGAAATGACATAAATGAACTTACTTACAAAACAGAAACAGATTCACAGATTTAGGAATGAACTTATGGTGGCCAGGTGGGGGAAGGATGGTGGGAAGGGACAGTTAAAAGTTTGGGATGGACATGTACACACTACTATATTTAAAATGGATAATCAACAAAGACCTACTACATAGCACAGGGAACTTGGTTCAATGTTATGTGGCAACCTGGATGGGAGGGGAGTCTAGGGGAAAATGGATACATGTGTATGTATGGCTGAGTTTCTTTGCTGTTCACCTGAAATCACCACAGCACTGGTAATTGGCTATCTGAAAGTGAAAGTCTTGTCGCTCAGTGGTGTCCGACTCTTTGTGAACCCATGGACTGGAGCCCGCCAGGCTCCTCTGTCCATGGAATTCTTCAGGCCAAGAATGCTGGAGTGGGTAGCCATTCCCTTCTCCAGGGGATCTTCCTGATCCAGGGATCTCCTGCATTGCAGGCAGAGTCTTTACTGTCTGAGCCACCAGCAAAGCCCTGATACCCCAATATAAAATATAAAGTTGGGGGGAACCCAGTATAAAATAAAGAGCTTAGGAAAAAAGAAAAGAAACAACAACAGCAAAAAAAACACAGGCCCAATCCCACCACAGCATCCTCTGGCTTGGATCGACGTTTTGGGACAGGACAGGGAAGGCGGGCCCCACGGCCCCCTCCCGAGGAATGCCTGGGGAAGCTCTCAGCGGGGTCCTCGCTCGGACCCAGGGCTCCATGTCAGCGGCAGCGCCCGCGGGCAGCACGTACTTGAGCTCCTGGGCGATGGCGGCAATCTGCTCCACGCGGTCCTGGTGCGCCGCCAGGTCGCTCTCGAAGGCCTCGTGCTTCCGCAGCAGAGCCCGGACTTCCGTCAGGGTTGCCGACTCGTAATCCTTCTGCAGCAAGATCTGCTCTTTGCCTGCAATGGTTGCAGCAAGGGAGTGTGAGGGCTTTGGCCTCTTTGCAAAGTCCTGGGTCATTTCAGAGAACCAAGAGGAGGGAGAAAGAAGGACAGCCCTGAAGAGGCAGAGATAGTATCTCAGCTAGAATTCAGGCTGTCACCCTAAGGAGGCCTTGAGCCCCTGTGTGTTCTGGAAGGGTGGAAAGCACACTGCGTGCATGCTAAGTCACTTCAGTCATGTCCGCCTCTGTGACTCTAGGGACTGTAGCCTGAAGCCTTCTCTGGCCATGGGATTCTCCAGGAACGGGTACTGGAGTGGGTTGCTGTGCCCTCTCCCAGGGGATCTTCCCGACCCAGGGATAGAACCTCCATCTCTTAAGTCTCCTGCACTGCCAGGTGAGTTCGTTACCATTAACGCTACCTGGGAAGCCCGGAAAGCATGCTGAGCACAATCTAAATAACAAGTCTGTGTTATTCCTAAAGAAGTATCTGACTTTCCCGTGTGATGCTCAGTTAATCTAGTAATTACTAGCCCATGAAAATTATCTGGGATTATTAGATAAAACACTTGTACTCTTATTTGTCTGCCCATGGGTTCAACCATTAGCCCGATTCTACTTCTTTGAAACCTTTATTTTTTAATGAGATTAAATGCAGCCTGTAATTTTTTCTAATAACAGTAGAAAAATGTCTCTCCGAAACTGTTTCCCGACAAATATTTCTTAAGTCAAGCAACTTCTGTGGTTATAACTGGATCCATTTTTATTCCCTGGTTGATGACCTTTAAGAATTTAATTCCAGAAAGCAAGACATGGAAAGCAAATGTTCACATATCGAATGATGACAACATAGCACTGACTATGTGCCAAATGACAACTGAACTCACTAAATCTTCATAACCCTGTGAAGGAGGGACAACTGTTACCCCACTTTGCAGGCGACACTGAGGCCCTGAGAGGTGAGAAGCATGCAGGATGCGCAGCTGGGAGGCGTCAGTGCTGGGACGCCAACCTGCCTGGCTGCACGTCTGTGTGACCGTCTTGCTGTGAAACGTGGACAGTCAAGCAGTACGACAGCAAAAGGAACCCAAAGGATGAGGGAAACCGCCTGTCCTTTCTCAAAATAGATGATCATGTCACGAGGGGATGTTCTGTTCTTCTACCTCAGCAAAGAGCAGAGTCTAAACGATACCACAACCACAGCATCACAGCCATGCACACAGGTATGCCTGCAGGGCCTGAAAGGAGCAGATGGCTCTAAGTGAAACAAGAGCACTGGGAAGGCAGAAAACCATTCCTGTGTTCTTTCCTTGCAGGCAGATTTTCTAAGTGGGAAATTCTGTTGCTTTTGTAGCATTTAATAGAACTTCTATCTGCAGAAGCTAGTGTCTGGGCCAGGACTGTCTGACCCACAGCTAGGGAACAAACAGATGATCGTGGAATCAGACAGAAGAAAGTGGGGTGAGTCGGGGAGGCTGGGCCTTAAGGAGGAGGAGGCCTAGCGGTGTAGCTAAGCGTGGGAAGAATGTACTATGAGTCCTGTTTGGTAAAAACATCCATCTTCACACCTACCTTTTTATTTGGCTGCACAGTACAGCTTGTTGGATCTCAGTTTCCTGACCTGGGATTGAACCTGGGCCACAGCAATGAAAGCACTGAGTCCTAACCGCTAGACTGCCAGGAAATTCCCCACACCCATCTCCTGCAGCACCCTCGTGCCTGGGACAGCAAAGGGGCGAGGACAGCTGCCTCGAGGACGGGTGCCAGGAACAGTGGCCACTGCACACACGCATGGCTCTGTCCGCGACTCAAGCCCCATCCCCAGGAGCTCCACCGTGCCCCGGGGACTCACCGTACGCCCAGGTTTCATGCGTGGATGCCTTCTGCCGGAACTTCTCAGCCAGGTGCTCCACGCGCTCCAGCCTCCGGATCTCGTTCAGCAGCCACTCCTCGTAGCCCTTCTCCGCCTGCTCCAGCCGCTGCCAGGCGCCCGCAATGTCCTGGGATGGTTGGGGAGAAGCACGGCCCGTCTGTTACGCCTTGGCCCCCTGGGCTCCCCTACGATCCCCTCGGTGATGTCGGCGGCATCTTCCTTGGTGTCTTCTTGTCCTTCCCTCACCCTCTGTACTCTCCACCCATCCCAAATAACCATCCACCATCCTCATGTTCTGGCTTCTAAACATCTTCATTATCACCAGGCCTTTTTAGGACTCAGATGGTCTTTCTCATCAGTGAACAGTTACCACATGCTTTTCCAGATGTGGACAAAGGCTTACACGCTTTAATTTTCTGGCTACTAGAAGCTGAAGCCACAAGGTGACTCAGCCCCAAAATGACTCAGAGACTGGGCTCTTCCTGGGCAACTGGTTCCTGGGCATCACACATGCGCCAAGCACTGTGGGAACGTCTGATATAAAAGTGGACAGCACCTGTAAAGTTCCCAGGGCCCCTGTGTAGTTTTCATGATTAGGGGTGCGAGTGGGGAGAAAGACAACAAATAAGGAATTAAACAAGCAAAACTCCTACTTCCGACAGTGATGTGCTGCTAAAGGAAAAACAACTCACAGGCAATTGGCACTGATGAGGGCATGTGAGAGTGGTTCCCTTAGGCTGAGACCTCTCTGCAGAGGTGGCATCTGAGTCGAGACCTCAGGGATGGAAGTGAGTGATGAGCTTAAGGCCTGCGGAAGGGGTGCACTCTGGGCTTGGGAAGGACCACAGCAGGTGGTGTGTCCATAGATGGGTGAGGTCACACACGCATGGCTCTGTCCGCGACTCAAGCCCCATCCCCAGGAGCTCCACCGTGCCCCGGGGACTCACCGTACGCCCAGGTTTCATGCGTGGATGCCTTCTGCCGGAACTTCTCAGCCAGGTGCTCCACGCGCTCCAGCCTCCGGATCTCGTTCAGCAGCCACTCCTCGTAGCCCTTCTCCGCCTGCTCCAGCCGCTGCCAGGCGCCCGCAATGTCCTGGGATGGTTGGGGAGAAGCACGGCCCGTCTGTTACGCCTTGGCCCCCTGGGCTCCCCTACGATCCCCTCGGTGATGTCGGCGGCATCTTCCTTGGTGTCTTCTTGTCCTTCCCTCACCCTCTGTACTCTCCACCCATCCCAAATAACCATCCACCATCCTCATGTTCTGGCTTCTAAACATCTTCATTATCACCAGGCCTTTTTAGGACTCAGATGGTCTTTCTCATCAGTGAACAGTTACCACATGCTTTTCCAGATGTGGACAAAGGCTTACACGCTTTAATTTTCTGGCTACTAGAAGCTGAAGCCACAAGGTGACTCAGCCCCAAAATGACTCAGAGACTGGGCTCTTCCTGGGCAACTGGTTCCTGGGCATCACACATGCGCCAAGCACTGTGGGAACGTCTGATATAAAAGTGGACAGCACCTGTAAAGTTCCCAGGGCCCCTGTGTAGTTTTCATGATTAGGGGTGCGAGTGGGGAGAAAGACAACAAATAAGGAATTAAACAAGCAAAACTCCTACTTCCGACAGTGATGTGCTGCTAAAGGAAAAACAACTCACAGGCAATTGGCACTGATGAGGGCATGTGAGAGTGGTTCCCTTAGGCTGAGACCTCTCTGCAGAGGTGGCATCTGAGTCGAGACCTCAGGGATGGAAGTGAGTGATGAGCTTAAGGCCTGCGGAAGGGGTGCACTCTGGGCTTGGGAAGGACCACAGCAGGTGGTGTGTCCATAGATGGGTGAGGGGCAGAGCAGCCGGAGATGAGGCCAGCAGGGTGGGGTGGGGGTCAGACCATGTCAGATCCCGGAAAAGGGATCTGGATCTTATCCTGGATATTTTAGAAAGTCACTGGAGGGTTTTGAGAAGAAAGGAGACATACTCTGATTTATGTTTTAAAAAGACGGGGACTTTCCTGGTAATCCAGGGGTTAAGACTCAATGCAGGGGATGTGGGTTTGATTCCTGGTTGGGGAATTACACCATCCCACATGCCACAGGGCAGCTGAGCTGGTGTGCCACAGGAAAAAAATGTTTTTAAAAAGATGATGGCAGCATCTATGTAGAGAATGCATTTTAGGGGGGAAAGAACAAGAAAAGCAAGTAAGAAAGTTACTGCAGGGTCCAAAGAGAAGCACCGGTGGCCTGGCACAGGCAACAGCAGCAGAGGCAGAGAGAAGGGCTCAGATTCAAAACGCGATCCTGAGCCAGCGGGCCCTGCTGAGGAACCCGATGCCAGAAAGCGGCAGAACGGGAGGAGCTGAGATGACACCTGGGTTTGCGGCTTTAGTAACTTAGGGGTCAGTGATGCCTTTTACTCAGAGCTCACTGCAGAGGGACTCCTGGTCATTAGGTTTTGAGACATCCAAGTGGACGTGTGAATCTGGAACTGGGGCAGAAATCAGAGCCGGAGATGTAAAATTTGGGAGACGTTGCCATTATAGCCAGTAATTAAAGCCACGAGACTGGGATGAGTTCACTTGCAGGTGTCAAAACAGAGGAGAAAGTCAGGAGCCCCTGACCCAGGAACCATCCACCCACAGCCTCGGGGGAAGAAGCAAAGCTGTCAGCAGTGACTGNGATGAGTTCACTTGAAGGTGTCAAAACAGAGGAGAAAGTCAGGAGCCCCTGACCCAGGAACCATCCACCCACAGCCTCGGGGGAAGAAGCAAAGCTGTCAGCAGTGACTGGAAGGACTCGGTGGTCGGGCAGGAGGAACTCAGCTAAGTTCCAGAGGGGAAGGAGTTCCAAGGAAGCCATGGTCACAGCAACAGAGAACATGAAAACAGAAGGGACCACTGGGCTGTCAACACGGGTCCTGCTGACTCTGAACAGAACAGCCTCCATGGAGGTGGGGACGGAAGCCAGCTTACTTACTGCACGTTGACGCGTAAAAGAAGTAAAGGAACGGGAAGGACCCAAAAGTAAGGACCACAAAGAACTCTCTCTGGACGTCCTGCTGCAAAGGGAGCTGAGAAACAGGACAGCTGCTGTAGGGAGACATGGAGTCATGGGAGGTTTTCATTTTCGCCTGGCAGATTCTAGACTGCCTCCGAGTGTGGATGGGAAAGCTTCAGAAGCGCGGGAGAGACTGGTATGCAGAGAGGGAGGTAAGTAGGGCTGAGCCCTGGAGAAGGTGAACGGGGAGGTGGTGACAGGAGGGAGCAGGGGTGGTGATGGAGATGCTGGTCCCCCCAGAGGCGGGGAGGAGAGGGAGGGACCGTCATCACCAGGTGTCTGTCAGAGGCCTGCCCTGGGCGAGGCACCAGCAGCAGGGAGAGGCAAGAACTGCATGATGACGGAGAACATCCAGAAGGAAGTGGACCCAGGGTCAGAACTACAGTCAGCGCCTCCTCTCAGCGGCAAACCAGAGGAGGGGCTTTATGGAAAAAAAGAGCGGGGTGCCCCCGGGGCCAAGGGGCTGCTCACCGACACCATCTTGCCCTCGGAGGGCATGAAGGCCGGCCGGTTGCTGATCCGCAGCTTGGTCTGCAGGGTGTTGAAGTTGATCTCTAGCTGGCACTTCTCCTGCACCTTGGGAGGCTTGTGCTTCCGGCGATAATCCCGGAAGTCCTCCAGCTTCTTCTGCATGGCCTGCATGGTCTTCTCAGGAGTCCGGTTCTCCAGCCAGGGGATCGTGCGCCGAATCCATTCCAAAAGCTGCTCCAAACACACACACACACACAATTGCTGAAAACACCAGCAAAGTGCCCCCAGTTATAAAACAGAGGCATCTAACGATTGGGAATGGGTTGACCAAAAGCTCCCGAGATTACAGAAGTCTGTAACAGCCCCATCTGTAAGGAGGGCACAAATGGAGACTCCAGTCCCCACCCAGGGCCACTCACCCTTGCCCCAGTGATACTACGCACAGGTTGAAAACTCAGAGTCAGCACGAGGCATGTTTTACAAAAATGAGACATTTACAGGAAACTTGGGGACCAGACATGAGCAGACAAATGCTGGATGGAGCTTTCAAATGGAAAAAAAAAAAAAAAGAAAACCAAAAACTTCACATGGTGGAATAAAATCAGGAAAGGATTGGGTTTAACTTAAAATGTATTTCTAGTTATAATCGGCTCAAATCTAACGGGTCTACTTACTAGACAAAAGCACTGTAATTCTGGAACTGACTCGATGCCAAAGTGTGTTTCAATAGCTAACTTCAAGGAAACCCACAGGATGAAGGTGAAAATGGCAATGACTCCCGAGGATGAAGTATGCCCTTTCTCTTGGATTACCACCAAGGCCTAACAAATGCCCTGCACAGTCTATCTGAAGAGGACGAATAAAGGACCACGCGAGAAAATGAAGGCTATCATCACCGAGGAGCATCTGTCCTTCACTCCTGGTCATACTTCAACCCTGAAGCTGGCTCACTGGCATTAAATGATGCTGCAAATGGAATTTTCCCACAACAGTAGAAAGTAAAAAGAGCATCATTGGCTTGGACTAATACATACAACTACTTGGGAAAACTGATTCCAAGTGTTCCGATGCTTTACCCAGGACAGGCCAAGTATGAGCCCGAGTAACTCACAGCGAACATGCTACTGTCACTGTGGCTGAGTTCAATCCAGAGAGGAGGTGGCTGTGGACTCACTGTGGTCCTGCTTTGCCTTTGTTGCATGGTTGCTCAGTTGTGGCCAACTCTTTGCAACCCCATGGACTATAGCCTGCTAGGCTCCTCTGTCCATGGGATTCTCCAGGCAAGAATACTAGAGTAAGTTGCCATGTCCTCCTCCAGGGGATCTTCCCGACCCAGGCATCGAACTTGATCTTCTCCTGCATCTCCTGCACTGGCACGTGGATTCTTTACCACTGAGCCACCTGGCTTCCCTGGTCCTGCTTAGTTAATATTCATACTATAATAAGAACAAACAGAAGTGCAGCGTGGAAAGTGCTAATCTAACCAGGAACCTGGCTGAAGAGCTTTAAAAAGGCATCCTGGAAACTCATGCTCAAATGTCTTGGATGGAGGGCTCTACCAGCGCTGCCTCCACCAGGCTCCCCCTAGATATCTGATATTTAAATACACACACAGGGCTGAGCCTCCCTCCTCTCACTATGGGTTGGGCATGTTCCTTAGATCCTGAGTCACTGCGTGGAGACAGGATTCTAAATACGGAGCACATCCAATGTGATGTCAGAAGCCAATGACGCAGGAAAAAAACAAGGAATGTAATGTCATCTAGGGGAGTCCAACCCCGGAGGTGCAGAGCTTCTACTACACCTTGTAACATGCAAACTACTTCCATGCCCTGCAATACTCGGAACAACCTGCAGCATGATCTTTGTGCCAATAATTAAGCTGCTACAAGATGAACAATTCCTGAGAGCGAGTGGAGTTTCCTACTTTATTCTACCCGNTCGCCAGAAGACTCTTACAGAAACTACTCTGCAAAGAAAAAAAAAAAACACTTGACAATCTGTGTTCACCCTCTGTTTCTCACCCTCTGGGAGGGAATGGACAAGACCGCAGGGACCCGTTTCCTTTACCTCACTCGCTAGCCTCTCATATTCTTCCATCAGCCTCTCATTCTCTTGATTCACAGCAAGAACCTTACATATCCTGTTAGCCGCTGTCTCGGCCTGTAAAACACAATAGGTAAACAGGACGGCTCTGTCGACAGGGACGTGCATACACAAGGCGGCAGGCGGCAGGGCGGGGGTGGCATGTGCCGTAAATGGTGCAGGTGCTAGGTTCTGGTGGGGTAAGCCTGAGGATATGGCTCTTTCACACTATGGGTCATTGCACTCCTTTGGGACAGTTTCATACAGACTTACACAGCAAGGTGAATATACTGCAGGGAAGAATGGGAAGATTAGCGTTAGTTGAAAACATGAGCTTTGTGGAACATTGAACAAGTTAGTAACAGAAATCAATGGGTCGCAGAAACAAAAATCTCTGGTCCCTGGGCGTCCACCTGAGCCCTCCCAGGGGTCCCCAGCTTCTGGGATCTAATGCCTGATGATATGAGGTGGAGCTGATGTAATAAGAATAGAAATAAAGTGCACAATAAGTGTAATGCACTTGAATCATCCCGAAACCACACCCCCACCCCAGCCCATGGAAAAACTGTCTTCTCCGAAATCAGTCCCTGGTGCCAAAAAGGTTGCAGACCGCTGCTCTAACCAACCTCAAAACTACAGGGTGAGAACTCTCCAATCATATTAGATATCAAAGCATAGAGGACTGGGTTCTCAATACATCTGTCACTGCCCTGAGTTCACAGAAGCCCTCTTCTCCCAAAATGAACACGTAGAATGTGTTAGCTGGGATCCTTTCTTGGAACAGAACCTGCTTTAAGACTTTGTCTAATCCACCTGCGTAGCTGTTGTGGTATCAATAATTTTCTATTGTCCTTCTGTGGGGAGCTTGACCTGGGAGTGGCCAAGTCCCTTAAAGCACGACCATGAGACCCGTTTGGCTTCCAGCCCTCCTGCCTTGTCCCAAGCCTTGCTTCTGAAACCCTCATAGGGGCCAATTTCCAATTACCACCATTTGCTGGTGACAGTCTTATAGAGTTATAGAGATCACAGAAATAATACATCCCTTGTCCACCCGCATCTATAAGAACACTGCAAGTAGAGATACGGGAAGAGGCAGAAGGCAAAAACAGGGGACCATGGAGAAAACAGAGGGATACCTACCTATGATGTCCCTCAGGCAGTTGGTGTTAAGGAGTGTGCATTTTTTGAGGATTTAACACTGTTATCTTTTCACTATTTCAGTTACATTAATATTCATCTTGCAAGATGTTTGAACAGGTCACTGAACAGTGAAGGGCGTCCAGGTAGAAGAGAACTATTAATAAAAATGGGCCCTGGAAAGGTGTTCACTCCTCCTGGTCAAATCCCCTTCACCGCTCAATCAATGCGGCCCAATTTTCATGGCTCTTGCTTTTCCTAAAGCGCTAGTATTTCCCACAATTGACTAGTGAAATATGAGCAATATCTTAGAAGGACAGAGAGCTAAGAACACTTCAGGAACTTGAAAGGTAAAGCTGTTCAATAAAAAAGCACTCACAGTTTGGAACTTGCCAAGTTAGGTCATTACAGGGAACTCAGAAAGAGTCCCAGGTAAGATGTGAAGCGCACGGACACACACCCAGGTATGCACGCGTGTGCTCGCGTGCACACGTAAACACGTAACTGAAACCAGTGCACAGGGCAGCACGGCAACCAGACAGACGAGGGTTAAATACCTGCTCCGCGCCCGCGAAAGCATGGTAGAAGCAGGAAACGTATGTCATGATAGCTCTTTCATCGGGCTTGGGAGTGTTCACAATGTCTGAGGGAGGGAAAAATAACACAGAGAACAGACATACACACAGATGAAGAGCAGAAACCAGGGTGAACAAAGGGAAGAACAAACTGGTTTACATTTGACTTTCTGTGTTTTTTGGGCCCACCATCCTGACCTTGTCTGTGAACACAATGCTTTCGACCGGCACATTTCTTTTTACATCATCAAAATGAGGGTTTCTCTCCCATCCCGGGTGGGTTTTTTTTTTTTTTAAGTGCAGGCAAGGTATTCCTGTGGGAACCCGGGTGCTGCCTATCAGAGTTGGTTCCCACTTCCTAAGGACCTGTGGGATCCTGCCTTTTAAGTGGATCACGTCATCTGCCACTTTGGCTGTGAGCAAGGTGTGTCCCTTTGCAAGATGCAGGAGGACATGCAGACCTCTCTGGCCCCATCGTGGCCACCAGTTCCCCACGCCCCCCTCATAATCCTTGACTTCCTGCTCTGTGCACAGCCCTCACTCAAATGGGGATGAAGTTTACTGCAGACAGCACATTTTCTAGTCCTTCTATACATACTTACCATGCCACTGATAGAAACCACCCAGAGTAACAGAACTTCTAAAAGGAAGGCCATACATGACTTGAACTTATTACTATGACTCTTGCCACCATGTGGAGGAGCTGCCAAGACAACCAGCAGGAAGAGAGAAAACAACCACAAGAACATACACTCTTCCTTTCTCACCGTGGCCACCCCATTTGTGGCTGAATCATGAAGCTTTCTAACTTGAGACTCAGTTCAGTCACTGGACAGAATGCAGTTAAAAAAGGTGCTGTGTAATTCCCCAAGGTGAAAGCTCGTCATCGGATTTCCAGAGGATATTGATAGGATGTGGGGTTGTGGAACAGCATGGAACCTTCTGGAAAACAAACATGGATGGCATACTACTTACTGCATAGACAGGATGTTTTAAAGAAACTAGACTGAAAAAAACAAACGACTGCTTCTTTGGAACCAGATGGATCTCCTTACTCCGAGGAGTGGGGGGGTGGGCGAAAACAACTGAAGAAAAAATCAAGACACAGAAGGTGAGAGGTGAGTGGTGACTTATGTTTCACATCCTCACCTTCTGCACACCAGCGAAAGCATGAGAGTAACGTAAGTATCTTAAGATAAGATAGAGACAAGTCATTATGGCTCTCTCATCAGGTCTGGCAGCATATACTAAATCCGTGTGGAAAAAAAGAAGGTTAACTGCTTGGACGTTCCAGCAGCAGCAGGCCTCTCAGAGAGGCCAAAGTCTCAACTCTTCCCCCTTGCCCACACACTTCTGATGTTCAAACTTTGGCTCAAATCAAAGAAGTCACATTTGCAAATTTCTTACTCTGTGTGCACTTCTAAGAACCGCCAGAGAGAAGCGCACGGCCAGCTCAGAAGAGTCCTAACCAAGCAAGTAAGTCGCATCCATGACTGGAGTGGGAACTCCAGAATTCCACTGGGCGCACACAACAGTGCTCCCTCCCTCTGGACAGACGGGGTGTCCCGGGGTCAACACGGGGCCTCCTGCAGGTCCACACAGACCATGGGCACCGACAAATCTACACCTGGTGCTCACTGGAGGGAGGACACAGAGAAGCAACCTTCTCAGCTTTTTAAAAAGTGTGGAAGGTACTTAAGACAGGAAAGAATCTCACCAGTTTTTATTACAGGTTCATGGGGGGTAGCCCAATTAGCTACTCCATTTAGAGTTCAGAGACCATCACAAATGACAGGAAGTAAGGTCAAGAGCAGTGGAAGGGGGGTAGAGGGGGCTGGGATGGAGGCAAGGATTTGCCGAAGGGATTAATGATCTGGGGGAGGAAACCGGTATTTAAGACATTACAATGAAAGAGTGACAGAGGGCGGAACATGTTACTACGAAATTGTGGGGACGGTGAGTCCAGACACAAGTGGCAAACACACAAAGGATAACTAACGATGGGGGGAGATCTGCTGGGGAGCTGGTTACACCACGCACGCCCCACACCCAAGCCAGTCAAGTTCATAACTCTTTCGCCAGAAGACTCTTACAGAAACTACTCTGCAAAGAAAAAAAATCATATATAAGCATTTTTCTGAACCATTAAAAACAAAAAAAGAAAAACAATAAGAGGCAAGGATGTCACAAAGGAGAAGGAAATGAACAGCGTGCCAACATAGCCCAAGTACTCAGGATAAGCAGAACATATGTCCAGACCAGGACTCAGATTAAAGGAGAGCCAGGAGCAAGAGGATGGTCGGCCTGCCAGAGACAGGGTAATTCCAAGCTCACCCTGCACTGTCAGAAGTCAGGGAGGCGTCAGTGAAGGAAAAGATGAATTTACTGTCACTTGTTTTTTCCTTTCTTCGGTATCCTAGCTGTTCATTCAAGTGGTAAACTCTGCATTAGGTATTTTAACGTATGCAAAGTTTAAAGTACAGAGTACTCAAGTGTAAACGGAGGTCAGAGGATGGATGGACAAGAAGAAAAAGGTACTTCTTCTACATTGAGACTTCATTCTTTCATTGCCTTTCTCCCTCTAATGAGTTTGTGAAAAACTGTAAGTAGATTCCAAAGAATGTATTCAAATGTGTTCAACACCCAGTATTACAGGTGTTTGATAAAATGGCCATTAACAAACAGGCAAAATTAGACTACTAACTGACTGTGGCCCCCAAAATGACAGATGGAGTCCTACTTCCTGGTACCTGTGAATGTGACCTTATGAGAAGTAGATCTTTGCAGATGTGATCAAGTTAAGACGAGGTCATTCTGGAGAAAGACGCACCCTTAGTCCACGGTGACGGGTATCCTTTAGGACGAGGAAGAAGACATAGAAACAGATGCAGAGGGAAGACGGCCATGTAAAGACAGTCAGAGACTGGAGCAATGCTAAAAGGAGCTGAAGAACACCTGGGGCTTCTAGAATCTGGAAGAACAAGGAGAGGCCCTCCTGCACAGACTTTGGAGGGAAACGGCCCTGCCAACACCGTGATTTCAGAGTTACAGTTTACAGAACTGTAAGAGAATAAATTTCTGTTGTTTCAAGTCACCTCCTTGGTGGTATTTTGTTAGGGCAGCCATGATACAGTCACCAAAAATAAGGACGAACAGGAGATTGACAACCGACTAGAACTAAGCTCTTCATTTCCCCAACAATGCTAATCAGCAGAAGCAACAAACCAACAGAGAATAGTAAGATTAGCAACAAGCACAGTAATACAAATTCCTTGAGGGCTGGGCCCTGCCTTATACATGTCATCATCTCCTGCAGCATCTCCAGGATCTTGTATATGGTGGGTGCTCATCAAGTATCTGCTGAGTGAGAAGTGATTCATGCATAAGTGAAATGAAGTAAGTGAATGATGTCCATGCATACACGCTTTCAATGCTGTGCCAGGGCAAAACTCACACACACTCATCTCACAAGAAAAGTACTGAAACCAGTCCCCAGCATGAGGGCTGCTAAGCTGCAACATATTGAGAGGTTCCAGCTCTAACCAAACTAAATTTAACTTGAACAAATTAAAGATGAAACACGAAAGTCTGGGAGGCACATGATGGCTAACTGTTCTATAGTCTGTATTGTGATTTCATAACTTCTAGTGGGAAGGATTTTTTTCCCTTGTGAAGTCTTAAAGCTTAAGGAGATTTATTTGTTAAATTTCTGCCTATGTTGTTAAAAAAAGAAGTAATCTTATGTTGTTTAAAAAATTAAATTAAAACAGGAAGCTTTCCATTGAAAATCACAAACCAAAGCATTCCATTTCTTTGCCAAAGTTGATCCTTTTACCAAGTCCTTTCACTAAAGTCTTGCTGGCTTGCTTTTGAGTAGGATTCTAAAAAAATAATTTTGAACTAGCTACACATGAAATATTCTAATAATTATGACGCCAATGACAGAAACTTCTAAGGGACCCTAAGTGCTTCAGATGTAACCTACAAGTCCCCATGTGTGGCTGTAACATAGGGAGCCCATAGACTTTCTGTTAAGTCAGTAAACGCAATTTTCATCTCACCTTCTGCATCTAACATTTTGGGAATATCCAGGTGCTTCTCTGCTATTTCCATGGCCAGGTTGATATTTCCTATTGGGTCATCCTGCATGGAAAAGAATATAACCAGCTTTTTAACATGTTTTTTTGAATAGCACTTAATGAATTTTTCTTATATGCCTCATTTTGGGTATGAAACTTTCCCATCCACACATAACCACAACAGTATAAGATTTTCTTTCTTATCTTTCCCCAAACACTTCAAACATTTAGAGAAACAACAAAAATAACATAAAAATTGCTCAATCCATGCACACTTTATAAAATGTGAGCAAAAAGTCTGAGAGAACAGATACTGTGTGACTGGGAGGAAAGTTGTGAGATATCTCCTCAGGATGGGAAAAAAAAAACACCCTGGATACCTTAGCATTTATTTCCAACTCTTAATAACAAAAATTTAGATGATTCCAAAAGGAAGCATGAAACATACATTTTTCCAGATCTGGGAAGTGGTTTCTAAATATTTATTAGTACAACACTAACTTTACATTTATTTATGTTTTAAATGCAAGAAAATGCTGCTTTTAGCCTGCTTAGGTGAAACTTTTAGATCACTAAAGATTGTTACAACATGGCTACAAAGAGTCAAAGTTTGGTTTGCAGAATATTAAATTTAAAAAATCAAATTATTAAAGAAACCATAGAAACAATACTGTAAATGAAAACTGTGAAGAAATTTTTGTTCTTAAGACTGTGTTTGTCTTCCACAGTAAAATTGGTTAAATATATATGTAACATAACAAAATATATTTAACCAGAAGTTTTTAACTGAAATACTGAAAAATTAAAAGATGTATTTAATATTTCTTCTTTTTATCTTCTAAAGAGATTAAGTACCGTGAATCTGAAATGGGATGCGGGAGTATATAATATAGAAAAATCAAAATGAGAAGTAATGTTAGTCCAGAGATGACTATAATGAACTTTACCATCAAAGCCATTTAAACATTTCAGAAGCTACAATGTTTTGCAATGAGCACAATCACTCTGATAAGGTGAAACATTTAAAACATGCAGGCTTCAAAGATGTTCAGTGCTCAAGGATGAAACCAAAGCAAGCCTCCTGGCCTCTCAAGAGTTTACTATCATTTCAGGCAAAACGTTTTTTCAACTATCACAAACCATATAATCCTTTTATTAAAAGCAGCCATATAATAAGGGGAGTTTTAGCTGCATATTTTATGCAAATGTTATAAAGCCAAATAGCTGGGTCAAGTTTCTTTTTGTTCTTAACATAGAAGAAAAATTTCAGCATTAAAAACAAAGTAATAATTCAGAGACTTTGTGAATGGTATCTCACTTAGAATGTGACTTGACATAAAATACGCAATTAAGTGTTTTCTTGGCTCAGCTACTGGTATGTGACCCTGGGCAGATTACAAAATTCTCCTCTTGTTCATCTGTAAATCTGGGATAAAAAGAGTACCAATCTAATAGGCACGTTACATTACATAGTTTACTGTGCACTATGAAGAATGAAAGACTGTTTGTGCATGCACATGCTGTGTGCCCAGTCGCTTCAGTTCTGTCTGACTCTTTGCGACTCCATGGACCACAGCCCGCCAGGATCCTCTGTCCACAGGATTTTCCCGGCAAGAACACTGCAGTGGGTTGCCACGCCCTCCTCCAGGGGATCTCCCCGACCCAGGGACTGAACCCACGTCTCCTGCACTGGAGGCAGATTCTTTACTGCTGAGCCACTGGGAAAGCCCTTGTGTATGTATAATATACATAAAATATATGTACTAATATTAACAGTAATACCCAGATGTATGACACATACTAATACATACATAATACATATACTTATTAAGTGCCTAATCTAGAGCTGATCAAAGTATTAACTGCTGTTAATTATTATCATTTTTTTACTGATCATAGGTGGCCAATTACCACATGCCTATTGACCTTTTGTAATAAAAACTTCCCAGGTGGCGTTAGTGGTGAAGAATCCGCCTGCCAAGGCAGGAGACACAAGAGACTCAGGTTCAATCCCTTGGTTGGGAAGACCCCCTGGAGTAATGGAAATGGCAACCTACTCTAGTATTTTTGCCTGCAGAATTCCATGGACAGAGGAGCCTGGCAGGCAGAGGTGCCTGGCAGGCTAGAGTCCATGGGGCTGCAAAGAGTCGGACACGAATGAGTGACTGAGCACTAAAAACTGACCCTTACAAACTGCTAATGAAGTTAGGTCTATATAGTGTAATTCCCTCATTTTGCAAATAAGCTAAACAGTCACTGAAAACAATATACACTGTCTCCACATTTCAGAATAACTCTGGGATGAGAATATACACTTGGGCAAGTTGAAAAACTCTGGCTGCCCATTCCCTTCGTCAATCTTCCACCTGAGGACCACAGTTCTCATCTTCAGGACACAAGTGCATTTTTCGTGTGCTACCCCGTGGTCAGTGAAGACAGGTCAGGGGGAGGGGGGTGACAACTGCAAGGTGGCCAAAGCCAGCATACTCGTCCACCCCGCCACGGGTCACGCCGTGAGAAGCATGCAGCGAAGACCAGACTCCACACCAAACACAGCGACTCGAGGTGCACGGCCAGCCAAGCACACAGCAGTGGGAGGAAATGTGCCCGCCGCCCTGGCAGGAATAGTCCTGGGGCATCTTAAGTCTCTACGTGGCCCTGTTACTGGGCATAGACTGTCCACTGCAAGATTTAGAAGGGGGCAGGATTTCTTTCTTCCATCACAGATCATATGTGCAAACTATTTTAAAGAAAGAATTCAGACTACTTGAAACTTAAGTGCAATAAAAGCTTAAGCTTAAAGGGATAATGAAACTTTCCTAAGCTGGGGAAAAAAAAAATTCCGTAAGTTGAATTTTTTGAAAAGAGAAGCAAAAATCCCCCAAACCTCTTTTCTAAGGGTGCAACTAACACCTTACATCAATAGCAAGGTAGTTATGAAGCATCTCTTGTGTGAGAAACAAGTTAATCAACTCTGAGTAAATATGTCAGCAACTAAATCTTTCCGAAAAGATAAAAGGAACTTAAATACAAGGTTTGGGGTATCTGCGTCTCCTTCCCCAGATACTTCATTTCCCTATTTTCAATCTGGGAATGTAAAATCTCTAAGAAACATATATAAAGCTTTCATAGTAAATCAAGCCAGTACAACAAACATCGTAATGTGGGCCAAAACGGTGACGTGGCTCTGGGTCTCGTCCTGCCCTAAAATGACGGGTGAGCACGCTCCTGGCCACCCTTCCCGCCCTCACCCCTGGCCGGGCCGGCCGGGAGGGCATGCTGGCAGCAGCCTGGGTGTTGGCGTGAGTTCAGGGCCGACGGGCTCAGGCTCAGACGACATGCTGGGGGCAGGGTGGACACAGCATGCCGGGCCCCCCAAACGACCTTGTTCAGCTTTGAGTAGTCAATGAGGTCGGGCCGGTGTCTGTGGATGAGCGCACAGAGTCCAAGGCCGTCTTTCCAGCTGCACGACAATCACAGTCGGGTTAATGGAGAGGCGCTGGCAGCCGCGGCAAGGGGCTGCCCCTGCTCATATGCTGGCCTAGACTTCGGGACCCGGAGCCCCAGGCACCTCCCTCGCTCCCCCACCCAGTGACGCCGCGGCCCCTTCCCTGGGAGTACTCATCTCTCTCCTGGGGTCTGCCGAGGACTGCCACCCCCTTACTAGTCTCGCTTCCGTCTATGGCTTCAGGCTCAGCCTTGCCGGGGACTCCCTCCCTGCCACGCTGCTCCTGCGCTGGTCAGTTCTGTGCTGGGAGAACCAGCAGGGCCGGAGGGAAGATGCTCCCCCCACCACTGGCCCTCTACCCCCTCAGGGTCTGGCGGGCCTGGCTTCCTCCTCTCTCTCTCCTCCAAGTCCCTGGAGTCGGCCCAACAGATAGACACAGGATGGTCCACCCTGAAATGCCCAGGACACACTTTCCTCCAAGAGCACACTCCTTAACACACTCCGAAATCCTACCCTCTCCCCTATCCTTCTTCATAGGGTTCTTTTCTATTATTGCTTTGTTTGTTTGTTTGTTTGTTTGTTTTAAGGCAATGATGGGTAAGTACTTGAAGGACTAAGCTGGGAGAGTCTGGATTTCCGCTCTGCCCAAAGACACCACCCTCAGGATAAGGGCTCCCTGGTGATGAGCAGCAGGTTCACTGAAGACCAGGAGTGGGAGTCCTGGGCCTGGAAGGGTGGGGAAGAAGGAGACCCCAAGGGTTACACTGTTGAAGGGCTCAGGCCCATTTTGGGCCAGAGGAAGAAAAGAAGATGAGTGGAAGGCCAGACTGGGCCTCTGACATTCACCCAGCAGGTCCCCGCCTTTCCAGGCCCTCTCATCCTGACAGCGTTTTGTAGGAACAGCAAGGCTCCTCCTCACCTGTGCGCACTCAGGACACCTAATAATACTTATCTCCCTTGATGAACCTCCCCAGCTGGTCCTGGGGGCTCATCTGTATCCTTCATTTCTTTTCTCTGATCTATGGGGGCTGGGGACCCATTTACATTCACCGGTATCCCTATCACACATAGGGAGAAAACATAAACACCTGGCAAAAGATGTACATGAGAAAGGAAAGACTGAAGCAATCATGCTCTCACATCACTTCTGGATCTCCTTCATTCAGCTCCCTATAGTTTTTCAAACAGGCCTTTTCTACTTTTCTCCAATCCCAGCCTACAAAGCTGACCAATGAAGCATCTTCTGGGCACTGCAGACAAGAGGGACAGGGTGGACCTCGTACATGGGATATGCAGACCCTAGTTCAATGTCTCCTTGTCCCTGAGAAGCCAATCCTGCCATGCCCCTGCATAATGCTCACAAACAGTACCAGTCTCCCTAGCCTGAATCCAGCGTTTTCCCCAGTGGGACCCTAAGCATCAATCAGCCCAGAGCCTGAGTTCTACTCCATAGAGAAAGCGCCCCACAGACAGGAGGAGACACTGAGATAAACAAACAGTATTCTCCCTGTCCACTCATATTCCAGAGGGTATATAAGGACCCCGGGGCCCTGGTTGCTCACCTGGTATGGAAGTTCTGAATGTTCACATTTCTATAAGGAGCGGTCTTCCTTTGACACCAAAGTAGCAGGCCTTCTTTGGCAGAGGTTTCTGTAATGATAGCCAAGAGAAAGAGTTTGCAGGGAAATACCCTCACACTCACCGGTCACTCACCCGAGTTCTCGTCACTTGCTAAAGAGACCTCCCAGAGGGCTCATCGCCAAAGGCACCACCTCTGCAAGAGGAGAGAGGCTGGAGCCCTGTTCCCAGGGACTGACTTCTGATGCTCCTTGAAGGGGCTTAAAAAGGATAATGCAGAAGTGACAACAAGGTGTGACAACAAGGTATGACATGATGAAAACCAAACCAGACATCAGGGGTACTGGTAACTTACCTTTCTGATGAAAAAAAAAATTTTAGTGTGTATAATTTATGACTTAACTAACCTGTCATCGCCTGGAGAAAGAAATGGCAGCCCACTCCAGTACTCTTGCCTGGAGAATCCCATGGACGGAGGAGCCGGCGGGCTACAGTCCACAGGGTCGCAAGAGTCGGACACGACCGAGCAACTAACACATACGCACAACCTGTCACTGATCTCATTTAAAATGTATATTCTTAAGTAAATGGAATTCAGAGAGGCCACTGTGTCTGAAATGTATTCCCTTCTATATTCCCTCAGTGATTTTAAAATACTTAAAGGTTTTTATTGGCAAATTCCACGTTTGGCCACTGGGGTTCTGACCAAGGTGAAAAAAAAAAACCACCACTGCTGGGAATGTCCTGGTATTCTAGGGGTTAAGACTACACGTCCACTGCAGGGGGCTCAGGTCCCATCTCTAGTCGGGGAACTAAGATCCCGCATGCCACTCAGTGTGGCAAAACAACAAGAACAACAGGCACCTTGCTGCAGCATGAAGGCACTGCTTAGATGTCTCACTGCTGGAAATGCAGCACAGACCTGACGTCCCGGCTGCAACTCTCTGAATCACCCCTGCATCCCCCTGAGGACACACTCCAGCCCCAGGCTGAACAAGGGAGGGGCACCAGAGTGGGGCCATTCCTGCCACAAGTGGGACTCCTCTGAGAGCAACTGAGGCGGAGGGACTCCCCATCCGCCCGGCTGAACCTGCCTGAGGCCCACTCTGCAGAATGACATTTTTCTTTCCCAAGTCCTTCTCTCCACAGCACAAGTGTCAGCCAGGCACTGTGCCTGAAGGCACCCTGTCATCTGCTGCTTCCCCTCATCTTATCCTCCCTCCACAGGCATCTCCCCCAACAAATCTCTAGCATTTCTGCTATGAACTGAATGTCTGTGCCCCCCCCCCCCAAATTCATGGGCTGGAGGCCTAACCCCCAGTGTGATGGTACTTAGAGATGGAGGTGATTAGGGTTAGATGAGGTCGTGAGGGTAGGGCCCTCATGATGGGATTAGCGCCCTTAAGAGATGAGCAAGCTCTCTGCTGTCTCTCTCTCTCTTTTCCCTCCTGTCTTTCTCCCTTCCCTCTTTTTCTCTGCCATGTGAGGACACAGAGAGAAGGCAGACATCTACAAGCAAGAAGAGAGCCCTCACTGGAAACTAACAATGCTGCCAACCTGATCTTTACTTCCAGCCAAATAAATTTCTGTTAAGCCATCTAGGCTATGGTATTTTGTATGGCTGCCTGAACAGGTTATGACAACTTCTAACACCATCTTGGCATTTGCTTCTTGGAGGACCCAAAGTTTCATACATCCAAACAGCTCCTCAAAACCTGAACGTGTGGACTCTTATTCAAAATTGGGCCTTGGCCTTCTATTTCAGTATGAGGTTGACTGTTTCAAATCAAGATAAGTATTCTATAATCACTTCTCTAAACTTCCCATTTCTAGTTCAGACTTTTCTTTGACCCATAATCTAGATGAAACAATACAACCCCCCAAATTTCATGTGCTCCAAGAATAATCAGAATGGCTCCTGATCATGTCTCTTATTAATAACAACTTCCTGTTAAGGAAAAAGACTGAAAGCTCTAAGACTTTATTGTAATATTAATTCATACAGATATTGAAATATGGCACTTCATAGCTAGCTGTTCTGCTATACACATAACAGCCTCCCTTTGGGGTTCTGACCAATGGAATTAGTAAGAAAAAGTACAACAGGAGGAGATAATCCAAACTTTTGAAATAAACTTTAAATAAAACTTAGGTTGGTGCTCGCTTCAGCAGCACACATACTAAAATTAGAATGATACAGAGAAGATTAGCATGGCCCCTGTGCAAGGATGACATGAAAATTTGTGAAGTGTTCCATATTTTAAAATATTGTATTCTAACACATATAGATGGAATCTAGAAAAATGGTACTGAAGAATTTATTCACAGGGCAGCAATGGAGAAACAGACAAAGAACAGACTTGTGGACATGGGGAGAGGGGAGGAGAGGGTGAGCTGCATGGAAAGAGTAACATGGACACTTCATTTCCAAATGTAAAATAGACAATGGGAATTTGCTGTCTGGCTCAGGAAACTCAAACAGGAGCTCTGAATCAATCTAGAGGGCTGGGATGGGACGGGAGACGGGAGGGAGGTTCAAAGGGGAGGGGATATATGTATACCTATGGCTGACTCATGTTAAGGTTTGACAGAAAACAACAAAATTCTGTAAAGCAATTATCCTTCAATAAAAAAATAAATTAAAAAAAAACTTAGGTTAGATAAGTAAACATACAGAAAGCAGATTAATACAATCTTATAACTGCCACTTACATTTAGATTTATGATTTTTCCTAAAGAGTTTTTGATGATCGTTTTTAAAGTCTTTATTGAATTTGTTACAGTATTGTTCTGTTTTGTTTTGGTTTGTTTGGCCCCAAGGCAGGGGATGTTAGCTCCCCAACTAGTGATTGAAACTGTACCCCCTGCGTTGGAAGGGACGGTCTTAACTGCTGGACCACCAGGGAAGTCCCTCAACCTTAGATTTGTAAGTCATTTTGTAAATCATTATTGTTTAGTCACTAAGTTGTGTCTGACACTTTGCGACCCCATGGATTGTAGCCCACCAGGCTCCTTCCATCCATGGGATTCCCCAGGAAAGAAAAGTCATGAGTTTAACCTAATTTCTGTTTGAATATGTCTGAACACTCTTAGACCATGAATGTTGAAGCAAGTATTTTCCCTATTGAATTGGCTACTGTAACAAAGCTGACTCTCTCCCACCCCAATTTCATTTTGAGGCATTCAATGGAAGGTTACAAGCCTGTGCCAAATAGTACATGACTGAGGTATACCTCACCTCCTGCAGGTGAAGGTTAAACCTGAAAAGTCCACACACAAAATCCTGACCGTGGGTATACAAAGCATGCTATAAATGGGCAGTATCATCTGTCATTCCATCATGAAAAACCATACCACCAAGGAACTGCATCTACTCAGGCATCTCTGCACTGCCCTCAACAGCAGATACGGCAACCTCTCATTTTCCTTCTTAGAAGAGGCCCATCGTTTCTGTTGATGGAGAGTGGCTTCTCAAAGAATTCAGTCTAAATAACAATGTCTTTTTCTACATAATATATGTCATTTAAATAAATTAGATAATTTTTCTGTACACTTACAGAAATTAAGTGAAGTTTTTAAGAATGCACTCTGTGAAAGTTAAGCAAATAAAAAAATTAATTAGCAAACTATCTACTGTGTAGGACACTAAAAGACTTCTGTTTGAAGAGATTTAAGCACTTTGTCAGTGAAATCATACTTCTGAATGTTTATTTTTAGTCATTTGAAAATCTTTCTATCACGATATGCTTTACAAAAAAAACTATGATTTGATTCTCTTATCTTGGGCACATTAATAATAACCTGGGAGAAAACCTCTAGTGGATCATACCATTCATAGTTACATTTGAACTAGAATTAAGTTTTCAATTAATATTATCAGCAACTTAAAACGTAACCAATCAGAAAAACCTGAGGTCAAGTTCACCTCTGTAATATCTGTGGGAAAAGGATTTTCTAGTGTAGTAAATGCAATGATGTGAACAAGATTTTTTAACTTGCTCTACAAAGTGGGCTCAACTGTTTAAATATTTAAATGTAGAAGTATATAAAAGTGATTAGATGATTACAAATTATTCTTTCTTAATAAAGCAGGAACTTTTAAAAAGCATCTTATTATTTTCACAAGCATGAAAGGAATGTACTTTAATAAGAGTACATTGTATGAGGGACTTTCCTGGTGGTTCAGTGGTTGAGAATCTGAATTGCAATGCCGGGGTTATGGGTTTGATCCCTGGTCAGGGAACTGAGATCCCACATGCCACAGAGCAACTAAGCCCGAGAGCTGCAACTATTGAGCCCAGATGCTCCGGAGCCCATGCACCAAAACTAGAGAGTCCACGTGCCTGCAGTGAAGATCCTAATGACACAATTAAGACACGACACAGTCAAATAAATGAATAAATAAATATTTCTTTAAAAAAGTCCATTGTATGAAAGTTTTTAAATTCACACCCAGTAAATTCAAACTGGCTGCTATTCCTGAGCTTGAATTATTGAGGCTTTAATATCATTATATCTTAGTTTGATCTTTAGAACAATTCCTAGACAGAATTATAAACAATGCTCTCGGCCCTTACCATTCAGGTGCCTGATTATCTGTTAGGGGACAAACTTGGAGAAGGTTGAACAAGTCAGACTACCCTTAAGTATAACGTGCAGCTATGCATTTTGTGATTCAAGTGCTAAACAAGCCAAGTTCTAATTTTAAGAACGTCAATTTGACACTTTTGACAGTGCCGAATTCATCAAAATATTTGGGAATGCAGTGGGTGTAAAAGACTAAAGATTTGCATTTGAGTGGCAAGGCCAAGGATTGGGATTATATTACAACAATGGAACAGTTACTGGGCTGAAAGATAGGATGACGATACAGACTTTGTTTTTAAAATAAAAAAAACAGACGGGGGAGGGAATGAAGGATAAGAGAGAGAGGAAGTTAAAAAAGAACTAAGGAATGAACAAACAGATTTCAATTGATTATCTTTTCGCTTGGAAAAAAAAAGGGTTTCAAGCTGTGAAGTCTAAAGAACTGTTATAATCATGAACCGACAAGTATAATAAGCAATAAAGAAGCTCAAAAAAATACTCATTTAAAAAAGCGACTTCTGTTCTGAACATGTGCTCATCTTTTCCTAAGTGATTCCACCCCCATGAATGAAACAGCATTGCTGGGGTCTTTTTTTCATACAAATAGAAAACTCGTGAAAACCCAACTCAGGCATCTTTCATTCAATCATGTAAGTGACTGTTCAGTTTTACAAAACTCTATTCAAACTTGACTTAATCAACTCAATTTTATTCTAAGTATCCATCAGGTTTTTACCAAAGTCTTTTACCTTCAACTGAAATATCCTGAATAGCAAAGCGCAGGATGATGGTCCAGATCATACCCAGCGTCATCTTCACGTTGCCATCAACAATTTCTTTAGGTAAGAAAAAACAACAAAAAAATGAGGTCAAAGATAACATAATCAGCACATAAAGTTTTCCTACGAGTCTTCTATAAGTTTTGACTTCAGAGCTATTGGAAAATAACATATGGAAAGACTAGTTTCTGTTTTTGTAACTGTCGTAGCATGTCTAGTTATAAATGTGGTGTTCATAACCAAATGTCTCCAGTTTAAATAAATCCTAAGTTAATAATGAGCACAGATCTTGCATATGTAAAGTCGCTGAAAACAACCCAGGGATTTCCCAGGTTTGAAGACTAGACGTGCTAAGGTTCTAAATAATCACACGCAGGGAACACAGGCTCGTCTGTACTCTGACCCTTCTTCTCAAGCTCCCCAGCTGGCAGGCTGTCGGATTCAGCTGCAAAATAAATGAATGGCAGGGTAGTCTCAGCTCCCGCTAGACTCACCAGGACTCCCAATCTCCCACAGATAATGGAGATCCTTCCTATTAGTTCTTATGAAGTGTCACTGGGCTGAGGAAACCATAATTCGAAAAAACACATGCACCCCAATGTTCACTGCAGTACTATTTCCAACAGCCAGGACATGGAAGCAACCTAGATGTCCACTGACAGGTGAGTAGACAGAAAAGTTGTATAAAGCTCCTTGGTGGCACAGAGTGGAAAGAATCTGCCTACAATGCGGGAGACCCAGGTTCGATCCCTGGGTCAGGAAAATCCCCTGGAGAAGGAAATGGCAACCCACTCCAGTATTCTTGCCTGGAGAATCCCCATGGACAGGGGAGCCTGGCAGGCTACTTTCTGTGGGGTCGTGAAGAGTTGGACACAACTGAGAGACTTCACATTCACATATTTACAAGGGACTATTATTTGGTCATAAAAAGGAAAGAAATTGAATCAGCTATAGTGATGTGGATGAACCTAAAGCATAGTACACAGAGTGAAGTAAGTCAGAAATAGAAAAACAAATATTGTATATTAATGCATATATATGCAATCTACAAAACTGGTACTAATAAATCTATTTGCAGAGCAGGAACACAGATGCAGATGTAGAGAACAGACTTGTGCACACAGCAGGGGAAGAAGACAGGAGGACAAACGAAGAGAAGCACTGCCATATACACACTACAATGCGTGAAAGACACAGCGAGGGGGAAGAAGCTGCTGGATAGCAGAGGGATCCGCTCGTGCTCTGTGATGCCCTAAAGGTGTGGGATGTGGAGAGTGCGACGGAGGCTCAAGGGGGAGGCGATACATGTGCACATACAGGTAAGCCACACTGCTGCATGGCAGAAATGAGCACAACATTGTAAAGCAAGTATACTCCAGTTTTTCAAAAAACTCGCTGGGCTGTATAAGCTCTTTCTCCTTCAGATGATTAGTCTGAAGGAGACAGCAGCATATCTGACTCTATTCATTTTTCTGCACAAAGTATAAAGAGTTTCTCCTTATTATGAGTAATATAGGAAAAATTACTCAAATTAAAATTATTGTATTATAAATGTCAAACTATATAAAAGGAGGTCTTGTGCATTTCAGGTTTTCAAGGCACCTGTGTACTTAAGATATGTACGGAGACCTACTGTACAGTAGCTTTGCCCCTTTAATTGGGGTACATTAATCATATGGTATTTATCTACCCAACCCCAGACTGAGATTTTGCTCTATCCCCTGGAGAAGGAAATGGCAACCCACTCCAGTATTCTTGCCTAGAAAATTCCATGGACAGAGGAACCTGGCGGGCTACAGTTCATGGGGTTGCGAAGAGTCGGACACAACAGAGCACACACACACACACACGAATGCATAAAGTTCAAACCGCGTTCACTCCTAAATTACCACATCCTAGAACAATAAGGTCATTGGGATTATGGCAGTATCTTCTTAAAATCGAGATGCTGTGTTCTCAAGATAAATGCCTAAAAAAAGAAGTCATCTTTGTTCCATGTCAATGTTAAAAATAAGTGCTAAATCAGTACAGTAATAAGTTAAAAGCTTAATATTCGAGGAGCAAGTATCAGCTCTATTTGACTCTATTCTTTTCAAACAACTTTAGAGCCTTGTTTCCTGTTCACGGTACCCAGAGCCTGGCAAAGAGGAGATGGCGGGAGGGAACAAAGAGGGAGAAGGCAACCAGCTGCAGGCCCGCTGCCCTGTGGGGAGGTTGGTGCACCTTCCCATCACACCCCATTTACCTTCTGCCCCGATGGACACCAGCTTCACACCTTTGCTGGCTATGTAATCCAAGGCTTTGTTGACATTAGCGATTTTGTGGAAGCGCATTTTTCCTCGGTCAGGTTTGGGCAGCCTTTCCCCTGTCGGGTGAAGAAAGAATCGTGTAGACACAGAGAAAAGAGCCCCCTTGATGCAGAATCAAGATGACAAAATTCAGAGTACACGCCCTCCTTAAACAAAAATCGTTATCTGACTGTTCCTCATGTGTCTCCAGTTTCTGTAAATCAGAGTACTTTCAAGATGAAATGGACCAGAGCAGAGGCTATGCTATGAACTCCATATGCTTTTCAGATCTGCTGGGAGAGCCTTGTTTGGTCTATGAGCCAGTGTTTAAATAAGTAAGAGAGAAGCTGTCTGGGGCCCCCGCAGCAATTGGAGTAGCTGACCAGCTATGAGAAGAAGTCAGGGAGCCTCATTCAAATTGCAGGGCTCATCTCAGACACGGGAGTGTGAGGATACCCAGATCAGGGCAGCCCTGCCTTCATCCATTCTCCAGTCCAATGTCTAAACCAGCTAGCTGACATTCAGGGCAAGGTATAACCCCTCAGAAACTCTGACTCCTGTTTGCAGAGTTAAGCCAATGTATACACTGGCTTTTGGCATGAAAGACAATTTTTGGAATACACACTAGCTGGACTAAACCTGGACAGGGCAGCCTGGTGAAGAGTTATATAAATGTCATTTTCTCTTCTCTCATTCTGTTTCGAGGTGGGTGGCAGAAACATTATTTTAATAAGTCCGTTTTAAACAGAATTCGCTCCTCTTTTAGAAGAGAAAAATAACTCCAGACAGATTGCTCTTTGGAAAGTTTTCTTTGCCAATAATACCATGTTCTTGCCCAGTCAGGTTCAAAGGGAGCTTTTTTTAAAAAAAAAAAAACAACACAGATGCATACATATCTACTGCTCAGACAAACTGGGTATAACACCTACAAAAAATGTTCAAGACTCACCTGAGATGACTTCCAAAAGTAGCATGAGCTTAAGGCCATTCCGGAAATCTTCCTCGATGTTCTCGATCTGAGTGCCAGCTTTCCTGAGGTGGGAGTTACACCAGGCGGTGAAGGTCTGCAACCAGAAGCGAACAGTGCTCAGCGCAGCGCTGACCACGCTCAACGCCCCTGTGTGGGCCACACCCAACCTCTCACCCCTTCTGGGACACAGGTGGCTGGGCCATCTCGGAACTGGACAGAAAGAACGATTTGCAGCCCAAAGATAAGATACAAGTAACATTTCCTCTTTAGAGGCAAAGAAAGGGAAGTCATTTATTTGGTCTAACCACTTGAGGAATTTTTGTTCACTTGAAACAGATACTACTTTTGGAATTAACATATACACACTACTATATGTAAAATGGATAACCAACAAGAACCTACTGCATAGCACAGGGAACTATAGTCAACATTTTGTAATAACCTATAATGCAAAAGAATCTGAAAAAGAATATATATCTATACACACAAACACACACACACACATATATATATATATACATACATACACACATATATCCTCCTCAAAGCACTGCATGAAGGAATCATGCCGCGCCTAGTCACTTCAGCTGTGTCCGACTCTTTGCAACCCCATGGACTGTAGCCCACCAGGCTCCTCTGTCCATGGGATTTTCCAGGCAAGAATACTGGAGAGGGTTGCCATTTCCTCCTCCAGGAGATCTTCCCCACTTAGGGATCAAACCTGCATCTCCTGTCTCCTTCACTGCAGGCAGATTCTCTACGGCTGAGCCACTGGGGAAGTTTGTATATATATATATACACAGTTCAGTTCAGTCACTCAGTCATGTCCGACTCTTTGCAACCCCATGAATCACAGCACGCCAGGCCTCCCTGTCCATCACCAACTCCCGGAGTCTACCCAAACCCATGTCCATCAAGTCGGTGATGCCATCCAGCCATCTCATCCTCTGTCATCCCCTTCTCCTCCTGCCCCCAATCCCTCCCAGCATCAGGGTCTTTTCCAATGAGTCAACTCTTCGCATGAGGTGGCCAAAGTATTGGAGTTTCAGCTTCA